GGGCCCCCGGAGGCCCCCTGAGTGGTTGGAAACTCACTCGATTTTGTTGGACATGTGGAGGTCGACGAGCTTGGGCATGTCAGAGCGGCTCTGCCACCCCCCAAAAGCCGCGCCCCGCCACTGCCGGCCCACAATGAGGTTGAAGGGGCGGGTCCTAATTTCTTCGCCTTGGCCTGCGACGCTGCAGCAGCAAAAGTGGAAAAAAGTCCTTTTTAAAGGCGAAAATGAGGCAAATCGGAGGCCAATTGCGGGGAATTGGAGGGGCAGTCAAGGGGAATTCAAAACGAATTGAAAAGGCACAAGAAAAAAAGGGAAAGTTGAGAAGAAAATGGGAGAAAAAAGGAGGGGAAAGATGAAAGGGAAAAAAAGAGAAAAAGAAAAAGAAAAAAGAAAAAGGAGGGAGAAAAAGGGGCAGCGAAGGAAGAACAATAAAAAGGCCAAAAGCTTACTGATAAGGAAAAGCAATAACGAACAAGAATGGCAATAGATGCGCGAAAAACGAATAAAATTAAAAATTAAAAGAAAACATCCAAGGAGGAAAAAAGGACAAAAGAAAAAGAAAAGAAAGGGAAGGGGAAGATAAAAAGGAAAAGGAAAAAGAAAAAGAGCAGAAAAGAAGGCCCCCAGGGGCCCCCGGGGGCCCTCGGCTTACCCTAAGATGACAGAAACTCCCCAGCCCTTTTTGGTGCATTCCAGAGCTGCCCTCATGATGCCCACGTTGCCGGTGCAGTCAAACGAGAAATCCACACCTCCTGAGTGCCCACACAAACAAAATCAAAGACAACTCATCGCAATTTCGGGTACTTCAGGGGGCCCCCGGGGGCCCCCGGGGGCCCCTGGGGGCCCCTGAGAGACCCCTAGGCAGTGGCGGCTCCTGGGGGCCTCCATCTGGAGGCGGGGTGCGCGGCTTAGCTGGTTGAGGTGTCTGTACAGCTGGGGTTGAAGCGTCTGTCTGTCCAGCTGGTGTTCAAGTGTGTATACAGCTCAGATTCAGGTGTCTGCACAGCTTAAATTCAGGTGTCTATACAGCTGAACTTCAGGTGGCTGTAAAGCTGAACTTCAGGTGTCTATACAGCATAGATTCGGGTGTCTGTACAGCTGAACTACAGGTGTCTGTACAGCTGAACTTCTGGTGTCTGTACAGCATATATTCGGGTGTCTGTACAGCATATATTCGGGTGTCTGTACAGCATATATTCGGGTGTCTGTACAGCTGAACTTCAGGTGTCTGTACAGGAGCTGGCGGGTGAAGAGTGGGTTTGACCTTGGAAGATTTCGAAGATTTTATTTTGAATTTTTTCATTTTGGCAATCTGAAGTGCAGAGGAAATGCGTGGCTCCGAACTTTCTTGCTGCTGCTTCTTTGCTGCTGCAGCGGTCGACGGCCAGCACTGCAGCAGCGCCTGCGAGTCTGCTGGCCTCTACGCAGGCGAGGCCCACGCAGCCGACTCTGCAGAAAAGGTTCAAATCTCTTTTATTTTTCTTTTTTTCCGCAGATTTTCGCAAGACTTTCCGCGATTCGAACACATAATTAAAGACCATTTCAAGGACTATTTAGCGCGAAAAAAACAAGTCAAAAAGACACTTTTTCCAGCCAATTTTACAAAAAAGAAATAAAAAAATCCCATTTTCGAGCCAATTAGGCAAAATACAAATTTCCCACACTTCCGCAACACACAGAGGAGAGGCTCCCAAGAGGGATACGAGCAACAGAAGAAGAAAGAAATAAAAAAAAGAAATAAAAAGAAATAAAAAATAAATAAAAAGAAAATTAAAAAGAAATAAATACGAGTTAAGTAGAGGGATTAAAAGGAGATTAAGAGGGGATTAAAGGGGGATTAAAAGGAGATAAAAAGAGACAAAGATGGCAATAAAAGGAGATAAAAAGCAGACAAAAAAGAGGCAAAAGACGAGGGTCACGCGGGACACTCTGCTGCTGCTGCTGCTGCTGCGCACCCGAAGACTGCCACAGTGTCGCCCGGCTGCACCTTCGCCGTATTCCAGACAGCGCCCAGGCCCGTAGAGACACCGCAGCCCAGCTGCACCTTCGCCGTATTCCAGACAGCGCCCAGGCCCGTAGAGACACCGCAGCCCAGCAGGCAAACCTGAAGGCCAGCAGCAGCAGCAGCAGCAGCAGCAGCAACAGCAGCCGCAGACAACCCACAAGCCAACAGCAGCAACAACACAGGGCAGAGAGATGGGGGCCCCACTGAGGGCCCCTCTAGGGGGCCCCTTTAGGGGGCCCCCCAAGGGGGCCCCTCTAGGGGGGCCCCCTTTGGGGGCCCCTGTGGGTACTGACTTTGTCTAGGGGGGCCTTGGGGTCGATTCTGGCAACGGCCTCTTGGTGGACAACTGTGTATTGGGAAAAGCTAAAAAGAAAAATGAAATTAAAAACAAAAAAGATTTAAATGAACAAAAAGAAGATTTAAATGAACAAAAAGAAGATTTAAATGAACAAAACGAATATTTAAATGAATTCAGAAAAGAGATATAGAAAAGGGGATTCAAATAAGCCAAAAGTGAGGCCAAAATGAACAGCTAGAAAGGGGATCAAAAAGACTACAAAAGGCAGAAAAGCAGAATCTGCTGCTGCTGCAGCAGCAGCAGCAGCCCAAGCTGCCGTTGCAGCAGCAGCAGCAGCAGCTGCTGC